TATATGTATATATATGTATGTATGTATATATATATATGTATATATGTATATATATGTATGTATATATATATATATATATATATATATATGTATATGTATATGTATATGTATATATATATATATGTATATGTATATGTATATATATAAAAAATTTCATTTTCTGCATTGTGTGGTGTTAACCTCTCTGCTGTTAGTAACATTAGTAATATTTATATACCTGGCAGATTGCATATTTCCCATACTCTGCTTTTCCATGTGTGGGTGAGATCATGTCTAATTTGCACCTTAGCAGGGGCACAAAGCCACACAAGTTTAGGAAGTAATAGTGACGCTTTGGTGTTCAATACTGTTAAAGTGCACACACACACACACACACACACACACACACACACACACACACACACACACACACAGAACACTACTTTCCAGAGTAGTAACCTAATTTCCCACTCTTCATTCTACATCAGCCCTATTTTAACAGGTTAATAGTAACACCCCAGGGATGACTGGACTGTGGACTGTGGCTTTACAGGAATGTGACATCATTTGGTTATCAGTCATAAATTCAATGGAGCAATAAAGCCCAAACTGGTGTGTGTATATTTTGGATATGCATACACATAATAACACCCAAGCTTAAGGTTGCATATGGTCTTTTGTTTAATATAAAAAGAGCCAATCTGAGGGCAGAGATGATAAGCAGCAAACACAGATAATGGCATCAGGGTCATCAATGCTAAACAATACTGTCTGAATGATTGAAATGTCTGGATCAAATTATACTGTTAATTCTCATGGATTCACTTTGTGTCTTGTTGTTTGTTCATCCAGGTTACCTGAAAGCTTCACAGAGCTGAGGAATTTAACCTGCCTTTCCATCAATGACATTTCATTGCAAGTGCTTCCAGAAAATATTGGAAAGTAAGTGATTTAGCACAAGTATGTAAAAGTTAAAGTATATAGATTTTATCATGAAATCTGAAGTGTGTCTAATGGTAACATACTCTGTTAAGGATGAACCTGAATCTTTCTAAGCCCACTGAGGGTTCGATGCACTGGTAGACTGATGTTTATCCAGTTTAAGGGAGACTAGTGTTTGATAATATCTCACCTGCCTCCCTTTGCATTTTCAAGTCACATACCTTGCTTTAGTCTTTGTGATCTTGCCAGAAAGGAATTTGATAATTACTGTAACAAAAGGCACATATTTCTGTTGTTTTAATGGCAACTTCAATTATGGGGTTTGTCAGTTACTCTGCTCAAACAAAGCACTTAGCATAAGCAACAACATTTTTACTTTAAAACACACAAAGCTCCAAAGTATTCCTTTAGGGTGCCACTTCTCTGCGTGATAACTTTGTCTAGTGGCAAATTGTCGAGGTTGGCCTCCTACACAGCTAATTAACACACAGTATGTTCCTTCTGGAAAGCATTTCAAAATCTGTGATGCTCCCAGGTCATTATTCTACCTCCCACTGTTCAAAGGTTACACAGTAAACACCATTAGAAACATAGAAGCAGGTTTCATTTTCAATATCTCCTTTTGCTGTCATTTCGCCTTCTTCAGAATCTCCTCCATCTCACCGTATCTCACAGGCGAACATACCAACCACATTACTCCTTACCAACTCATCAGTTAGCGTCTTTTGCCTTTGTTCATAAAAGGCAAAAATGCTTGTTTGGAGATGGCATATAATCCAGAGTAGTTAAAGGCATGCCTGCCAACATTCTCAGTCCCGTGGGGTCCCCTTTTAAACATTGAGATCAGTTCTAATTGAATTTAATAACAAAGCTATTTGCTTTCAGGTCAGAGTGCCACAGGAGATATTTTAGTAGAGGTTTGGTATTTTAAGGTAAACTGAATTGGAGGCCTGACAGGGATAGGATTATTCCAGATGTGTGAAGCTGTTTGACTGTTTTTCTCAAGAACGGTTCTCTGCCAGGTTTTCATTTTGCATCTCGCTCTGGGTCTCAAAAATAAAAAAAACAGACAAGAAAAAAACGTTCCAAATTCCAGGTGGCGCTGTGGTGTCTTCATGCAATTAGTTATTCCTTTAAGATAAAGAAGCTGAATGCTCATATGGTGATGGTCTTGGGTCAAAGCCTGCTAGGAGTAACTCTTGAAGCTCCTTTGTGAACTGAGCGGCTTCTGTCATATTCCAGGTCTGCTTATAACACACAATGCCTATGCAGCAACCCAGAAGCTTTTCAAGTGATCAACAAACAGAGTCTTTGTCAATACAGTTCATATTGAGGTGTCAAACTTGTTTTTGAGGGTATAGGGGAGGCAATCAGATGTCATCTTTATGGGAAAAAAGTTAAGAATTTTGATTGCACAAACTCTTAGGATTGCCTCTCCCCCCTCTTTCTGCCTCATGGTACGGCATGTTCCGCACATATGTCCAATATTTTATCTCGCTTAACACAATGGCTTAAGGCCTGCTCTCTGTCAAAAGGAGAAGGTAATGAAAACCATAGCGCAGCTGGAACAGGATGCCTTGGTTTTTTAGAAGTAGATAAGATAAATGTCCAAGGGGTTACACGGCAGCAGCGATTTATCTTGTGAGATGGGAGTGTTTGCTGATGTGAAATGGCACGCACAGAAATCAGAGAGTTGAGCAGTAAGGTGGCGTGTTTTAAATCGAATCTCAGGCACAGTGTGCTGGAATTGGGAAGATTTTCTTTTGTCTTTTTAATATCTGGTTTTAGTGATCTGCTGCGGTGGAAGCAAGGTGAATGAAAACTAGCAGCAGTGTTGGAGCTTTGCATAAAATTAATTTATTTGCTGCTGTGTCTGTAGTTTTCCACAGTGAAATTGCTAACATACAAGGAATGCCGGCTTGGCGTTTCAGTCAAAGGTGTGCTGTAAAAGGCGTCGTCTTCTTGGTCCATCACTAATAGCACACAAAGTCTAACCTATTTAGAGTTACTTCTCGTAAACAACATAGACTTTGTACTGTTCTAGACGGCTACTGTTATAAAATCCTGTATCAGCTAGGTGCATGTATAGCACAAAGGCATACATGAATGGCCAGATGACAACCCTGTCCTTTGGTCTGCGATGTCTCTGTTTTTTTGCTCTTCATTTAAAGTATGCAGACGTTGTTTATCCTGCTGCAATTTTACAGCCTCGATAAGATGGACACACCTCCAAACTACTTCCTGTTTTCAGATGTCTGATTGCAAAAAGACTGTCTGTGGCCATTTTTAACTGTCATTTAAACTCATTGTTTTTAAAACACTCAGAGTAACATGTAATCATTTTTCTTTTTTACCTGTCATTGCAGCCTCACCAATTTGGTATCACTAGAACTCAGAGAAAATGTATTGCAATTCCTACCAGAGTGAGTACTCATTGCTTTATGTGGATACAGTTTGCATGCTTTCTTAAGCATTTTTCCATTTTTCTTTTAACTTGTCTTGCACGTGTCATCCACAGGTCATTATCACAGCTTCATAAACTTGAAGAACTCGACCTAGGCAACAATGAACTCTACTCTTTGGTGAGGTTTTTTGTTTTAACCCAGAAGAATGCCAAAAACACAACTTTTCTCTTTGCCTCGTTCTTGTCATGTCCGAGCAGATTAGCATCCCTCGAGAACAGCTTTCACCTCTTATCGTGCAGATGGGAGGATGGCCATCTGTTTTCAGCTTTGGTTTTAAGTTGTAATCTTATGTGAGAGGTTTAACTCCGATGGTGAATGAGGTACTGGCAGATCATGCAAGGATGAGCTGCCAAGAATTGTCTAATGGAGATTGTGTTTAGAAATTTGAATGGGCTCTTTGCTATTTTGCCAAAAAGCAGCATAACAGGTGCAGTCATATTAAAGCAAGCAGCATTGTATCGGAGGGAAACTCATGTTCAGTTTAAAGCAAATAACTGAGATGGCTTTTTCTGCTTTGTCCCTTTTTTGTCTCTTTCTCTTTTATATTTTCCTGGCTCTTATGGTTCCTGCATTTCTTCCTCCCACGCAGCCTCAGTCAATAGGCCACCTTGTCAGTTTGAAGGACTTGTGGCTGGATGGAAACCACTTGACAGAAATACCTGCAGTAAGCTAATCATGCATTTCATGTCTATGTTTTACAGTCTGTTCCAGTCTTACTGCTAATCATAAAACCACTGTCATTTGCATACTGTTACATATTTAAAGTTTAGAAAAAGACTGTCTCTGTTCCTACTCCTTGATCAGGTTTGCCGTTGTATTATTTTAACATACACAAGTTTTTGCTGTGAATCTTAGGAACTGGGCAACATCAAAAGCCTGCTGTGTCTGGATGTATCAGAAAACAAACTGGAGAAACTTCCAGAGGAAATGGGAGGCCTGGTGTCACTCACTGACCTGCTAGTATCTCAGAACAACATTGATTCTCTACCAGAAAGCATTGGTATGCATAAGAATTTGTCAGCATGATTGTAATAAATCTGAAACATAATATGTGGTTCACAAATGTTCTTGGGTCTCTTATGTTTTTAAATGTATAATAATAAAACACAATTAGCCATGACTTATGATCCACCAGAGGTGTGTTAAAGCGAGCAGAGAAATCATCTTTGCCTGTCGTCGTATTCTTGGTGTGTTTGAGATGTTTCTGACCTTAAACCTTTGGGCAGTAGGTGTGTCACCAACAGCCAATAACAACCCTGTCTGTTTGACAAAGGTGGGGCTGAACTACACACACACGCAGAGCAGGATGAAGGGTGACTTTTGTCCGCATTTATACCAGTTGCCTTAGAGCAGCAGTCCCCAATCTCCGGGCTGGTCCTTGAGTCGTTTGGAACCAGGCCGCGAGAGTTGAGGCTCAGATGTGAAATTTATGGTTATCAGGATTTTTATTGTTAACTCTGTTTCCCTGGGTCTTTTTTCCATGTTGTAGTTGTGTGTCTTATTTTGAAAGAAATATTTACACGTTACCATAGCGACCAGAGAGAATTAAGGGGAAGAGAGGAAGATGTTACTGTCAATGTTGTTGGCGCATTTCAGGAGGACGCTGCTAATAAAGTTACACAATTACACAGTTACACAGTACATTCGCCTTTATTATTATATTTACCAAAAATACCACAGTTTTTGTCTTGGTCGTATTATTTTATTTTGTTGTATTTATCCGCGACACCTTAAAGGCCACTCCTTGAAAATATTGTCTGACATCAAACCGGTCCGTGGTGCAAAAAAGGTTGGGGACTGCTGGATTAGAACATGACTATCATGAAGATACAGATAAATATGCAAACACCAAGATTGATGTTGATATAAATGCCTCGGTTGACTGACTGCCTTTCAATGCTTACAGGGTTTATATTGTTTAATGTATATCATGTTCAACATATGTATATATTTTCTCTCTCTGCAGGAAAACTACGAAAACTTTCTATACTGAAAGTTGATCAGAATCAACTGGCGTATCTTCCAGAGAGCATTGGCAACTGTGAAAGTCTTACTGAACTTGTGCTCACAGAGAACCAGCTACAGGTTTGTTTGGGGTTTTTTTCAGCTTCATGCATCCTCTTTAAAAACAGATTAATGAGCTCATGGTCTAATGGAAAAATGGCTACAGCCAAGGTTATTGTGCAAATGTTTAAACTAAGTATTTACCAATAAATATATACTTAGTGGTCACTTCATTACGTACACCTTGCTAGTACCAGAACTGTCTTAATTCTTCATGGTATAGATTCAACAAGGTACTGGAAACATGTGCCATTGAGATTTTGGTCCATATTGACATGGTGGCATCACACAGTTGCTGCTGAATTTTCAGCTGCACGTCCATAATGAGACTCTCCCGTTCCACCACATCCTAAAGATGCACTTCTGCATACCTCGGTTGTAACGAGTGGTTATTTGAGTTTGTGTTGCCTTCTTAACAGCTTGAAGCAGTCTGACCATTCTCTGTAATCCATAGACATTGGTATGTGGGAAATTCCCAATGGATCTGCAGTTTCTGAAATACAGCCATGCCACCTTCAAAATCACTAAAATGATCTTTCTTCCTTATTCTGATTATTATGCCTGAATGCATAAACCAGATTTAAGATATTTTTTTCTTTGGAGACATGAAGGAGATGGACAAACTGATTACAGTTAGGCTTCTCAGGATGCACACTCTGCACACAGTATAAGCAACCAGTGAAACAGAAAGTATTGTACACATCATCACCACCGATAAGTCGGCCTGTTTTTATGTTGTTGTTTTGTGTGTAAATGATATGACAACGTGGGCAACACAGTGCATGAAAGCACTATATGGATAATTTGACTTTATTGTCCTTGTTTTATGGATAAATTGATAAGTTGCTTAGTAATGAGAGAAATAAATATTTCTATTTAATATAAAACCGAGCAGACGCTGATGTTTCCTCTAATTTTTGTTTTGGTTTATAATTACAGAGCTTGCCGAGGAGCATTGGAAAGTTAAAGCGACTGTTTCACCTGAACTGTGACAGAAACCAGCTACTGTCGTTACCCAAGGAGGTAAGCTTCTTTTATGCCACCTGACAATGCTGGCGTTTTAAGAGCAAGCTGGCAAACTGCTTATTCAAGTTTATAGCCGCACTGAAGCACTTCCTTTCTTTGCTGGTAAGTGACACAGATATGAATCTCTTGGGCCTTTGCTGTTACTGGTTTTGTCACTTGTTTGCACAGGTTAGAGTGGAAATTGAAACCGAATCTGTTTTGTACACAATGATGTAATGTGGTTAAGCCAGACTGCCATTATTGTAATATGATGCTTTTCTGCAACTGTTATGAGGGAGTTAAAGCTCAAACCGAGGTTCATTCACATTTGACTGGACAATGCTCTTGCTTGTGGTGCTCTCTCATTTCATTTTTACTGCTCGGCCCCCCGGTTTGTTCAGCTTCAGCTCTGTCTCAGTGTGTCCTTTGTGTTTGCATGCGACATTCTTCTCTAACCTCTTGTCTGCGTAAGTGAAGGCTCGCTTGGTTTAAAGCTTCATCTGAAAGGCTTCTTGAAATGTTGGACAATGCCCCTGTGTCTAAATGATGCAAAGCCTGCAGTGTTTGGGGAAAAATAACAGTAGGCACACTTGGCCTAGATAATGAATCCATGGTATCACTGTTTTGCATTGCATGACATGTCTAACAGGGACAGTGTTACTGTGGCGTGTGTATTGATTTGAGCTTTGCTCAGCTACTTGATCACTGGCTAGGGCTGGACAATTAATCAGATTTTATTTTCAATTAGGATGTTGGCTTCAGTCGAATATAGACACAAGGTGATCGATAATTATTGTGTCACGTTGTGTTTCGTCGTCATGTTCTTGTTTTGCACCGGATTGTGTGTGTGTGTGAATAGCTCCACCATTGGCCCAGTTGTATTAACTTTATTGACTCTATTAATTGATTATTAGGTGCACAACCCTTTCTCCTGGATCTGCTTGGATGGAAACCAGCACATTTGGTTGTTTTTGCTTATTCTTGCTCACACATACGCAAGTAGCTCAGTAAATTTGAAAGTTTCTTACTCTTCTTGCGTGTAATTGCTTTTAGCACCTTTAGCCATTTACTTTACCCTGCATCTTTTAGCCCGATTGGTTCTAACCTGTACTGGTTAGTCTGTGCTGATAAATATATTGTAGCTGGAGTTCAGCCGGCACATTGTTTTCTCTGGCTACCAGGCCTAATTGTTCCTAATTTTAGGCCACTCTGCCACATCTTATTGACATGTAATTGTTCTTCTATCAAGATCACTAAACTGGGGACAAAGTTTCCAAATGCTGGCAAAAGATCTATCGTGCTTTTTATTGCTGTGGCATTGTTGAAAAACATCAGATGTGCATTTAGACTGGATTCATAAAGCTATTAAGACAGACTTGTATTGGCAGTTGTGTGTGCGTGTGTTTACTTATGATTAACCATTTTAACTTTGAAGTGCCGGCAGCCTAATCACGTTGTTGTTGTGTCTCCTGTTATTAAGATTGGCGGCTGCAGTAGTCTGAATGTCTTCTGCGTACGAGAGAACAGGCTGACGAGGATACCGTCAGAGCTGTCGCAAGCCACAGAGCTGCACGTGCTCGACGTGTCTGGGAACCGGTAGGTTCATTTATCTCGAGCTGGCAAAGTCAGATTGTCAGCTTATTCCATCTCGATTAAAAAAACAAAACAAAAACAAAAAACATTTCATAATAAGTAGCAAAAACATGGTTTGTGTTTCATTTTTATGATGCTGTTTTATAATTAAATACTTGGTTTCGGCCTGCTAATCCCTGAAGATCATCCTGATATTTTGACCATGTTATTCAGTTAGTCAGAGGTTGTTTTGACCTTTATTTCCCTGCCTGTACCTGTATAGCTCCCAGCTTTGTCTAGAACGAAAGCTGCAGATATCTGCAGCTTGAGTCACACAAAGACACGTTCACCTCTGTGTCTGGAGAGTGTTTTCCCTCCTCCACATAAATAAAACAACTGCCATGTACCTCATCCAAATGTGACACCTTTACTAATTCACACTGTGCCCACAGCAGTGTGTATGTTTTGGAAATAATAACCAGGAGGTATCTTGGAGGTGGGGAGGTTGTGTGGGCAGTGATTTATTTCCTGTTTGTTTTTCAGGCTCACCCACCTACCGCTTTCTCTGACGACGCTACAGCTGAAGGCCTTATGGCTGTCAGAAAACCAGTCGCAGCCGCTCCTCACCTTTCAGACTGATCAGGACCCTAAGTCAGGCGAGAAGGTGCTTACCTGCGTGCTGCTCCCTCAACAGCCAAGTGATGACAAAGGTAATGTTATTCATTGAGTATAAGCCTGAGATAATTATGGAGGTTTGAGTGTAGAGAAAAACATTTTTCTCACTGGTTGATTGAAATCACTCTGCTTCTTTGCATGTGAGAACTTTGTGTGAATAAACATAGTAGTGGATCAGCGTCTCCGTGCTCTTAAAGTGATGGGCTTCGTCCAGAGTGAAATAACTCTGTGCTCGCTCTGAGACATTTTTAGTAATGTTCATCGTTAAGTCTTGTACCGTCTCCTGCAGTTTTCGTGACATTATCACATGATCTGCTCGGAGGAGCACAGTGTGTTCTGCAGCCTCTGATCCCTTCCTGCAGTATCTGTCGATTATAAGGTCCTGTAAGGGATCACGGCGCCTATAACAGATCAGGCCCTCTCTTGTCCCTTGAGGCCCTCTTACAATATGTTTTTCAGAAATGTTGTGGATTGGACAGCTAAAGAGGCTTAAAAGCGCCTGGCTTGCTGCCATTAAAAGCTCACAAACTGGGTACAGACATGCTGCTGACGGCTGGCTCTATCGCTGCCTGATACAGCAGATTATTGTAATTTTTTCTTTTTTTCTGTCCTGTCATTGACAGATTTTCACACAGATTTGTAAATATTTGTGATATGCTTGCTGATCACTTTATTTTTCATGTTGTTTTCTGCCAGCAAAAATAATTAGCAAATTCATCCGTTGATTTTGAGAAGTGCTGCATGTCTCCTGTCAGAGAAATGCAGCTATAAAGCTGGCGGAAGTGGGGAAAGTGAGGCTGAGGTTGGGGGCAGGGAAGATTGTGTTGCTGTAAGCCTGTGACTAAGCTCAGATTTGAAATGGTGATCTGACAGTTTCAGGCTCGCTCATTAGCACTGGACAGCTTTTATTTCTTGTGTTTGCAGATTGCAAACATTGCAGAAGTAATCGTAGCCATACTGATTTTGATCTATTGACATGTTTGCTTTTAGCTTGTACTAACATTTTTATGTGAATTCCAGTAATATTAAATATGCTGTTTGTTTTAAAAACAACCCCAGGCTCTGATAATCTTGCCCGCTGCGGAGGTATGGAGAGCCTGGTGAATGACATTGCTAACGAAACATGGGACAACAACGCCGTGAACAGGACCAGCGTCATTCACTTTGTAGATGGAGATGATGTCGACGATGACGACGATCCGGTGAGTCCATAGGCTGCATATAAAAGATGGATGCAATCTTAGAACTCCCATTTTAAAGCAAGATTTGAACATTTGAGCACAATTTAATTATTTAGCAAGCTTTACCAAGAAGCAAGCTTGGTTAGCTTAGTTTCCATAGATTTTATGTCCTTATCTGTATTAAATATGCCATAAATAAGGTTATGGGGATTGCCTCAAGCGACTTTTTTAGGAACTCTGATCGTTTTATATCCACAGCCTTGGGGTAGGACAGTCATGCTAAAGTGCTACAAATTACTGCAAATAATAATAATAATAATGTTTTCTGGGATATTATTTTGACAAATCATGAATGCAAGGCACGTGCATCGAGCATCACAGTCTGCTGTCATGTAAACATTGTTCTTCAGCTCTCTCCAAGGCAATTTAAGCAGATTTTAAAAAGCATCCCACTAATTAGATTCTGTTTCATCTACACAGGGAACACTACTTCGGCGGGCCACGCCTCACCCCGACCAGCTGAAAAGTATGAAGAGAGCAGCAGAGAATCTCCGCAACGACATGAATGCCGCCAAAGGGCTGGACTCCAACAAAAATGAGGTCAATAACGCTGCGGACAGCGTGACCACGTCTGTGTGACCTTTACCTCAGAAATGTCTTTTACCTCCTGTGTCTCGCCGTGTTGTCCTGCACAACCCAGTTACCCCTTTTCTCCTTTACCTACAAACCCTGGTGTGGCCTACCCCTCCTGTGATTAAACCCTAGGGCGCCTGTAACCTTACTCTATCTCCAGTCCTGTGTAAATCCCACTCAGTCTACCAGGGCTGCTGTGCCTTCAATTTAAAAAAAAAAATTGTCCACAAGAATTTTCTGCACAGAGAGACTCCTTTTAAAAGACATTTTAGAGATTTATTACTTTTTTAAATGGCTCATTTTAAGAATATAATTTAGGTAGTTGCACTATTATAAGTCTTTATCAATGTGGTCAAACCTTTTAAATGTATTATTATATATATGTTCTATATATTTTTTAAAACACTGGGTGAATACTTCTTTTTACCTTTTGGGCAAACAAACCAGGATTTTTTTTTTTTTTTTGGACCTACTGATTAAGGATTATTGTACATACTCTTGTGAATATTGATACTTTTATACTTTTTGGCAGCTCAGATGTAAATAAAATGTATAGCAAATTTCTTAATCATTTGCAATTTCAAAACTTTTTTTCCCCTTTTGCAAACGTGGTACATTTGTCTTTCTTTGTTTTTCTTGGTTTAAATCAAAGCAATGAACAAAACACAGTCACTTATGTCTTATTCAACCAATATAACTGTGATCGGATGAGTGGATGGCCTTGGATCCTCATATTAATCTATGAAACATCTAGACCCATAATTTTGGAAATAAATAGATTAATTTAGTTTGGATTTAAGTACTGCACACTAAATTTGAATTACGCATCTGCAATGTAACTATGCAGAAGTAAAAATGCTATCTTATTATAATATGTGCTGTGCTTCACTGCTTTGCAATCTTTTTCAAATAGATGCCAAAAACAGATGTATTTTTCTTTGTCTTTAACAAAGAGTACTGTCAAGAATAATCATTGGAAGTTTGAGGTTTTTACCACAGTGTCGGCATTCTTTACAAATGTAGTCGATAAAGTTCCTTTTCAGTACACTTTTCAGCTTTGCTCAAATCCTGTTCTTGAGATGGTACACGATCAGCTGTATCATTTTGTTTTTAAACTGAAAAAAGTGGACCAGGGAAATTGGTTCAAATGTTGGTTTTAATGTTTTTAGCTGTTTTCTGATCAAACTGCACAAAACAGATCTCAAATAGGTGGTGAGCCTGGGGATTTGGATGACTTTCTAACCACTGATCAATAAAATGAGTGCAACACTAAACGACATGTTTGTTTTTCCTTTAATTTCATTAGTCACCCTGTATAATTCAGACTACAATTTAATATTTTCTTCTTCTTCTTTCTTTTTTTTTTTTTTTTTTTTTTTAAATTGAAATACATTTGGTGGGATCTATCTCCCTGTCCGAAAATAATATATTTTCAAAGTAAGCTTAGAGTGGACCCATCTCATTTTGAATTAAAACCTTTCTTGGCCCTTTCACGCTTGTTCTGTCTGTCCGGAAGTGCATGATATTTCTGTAATGCTTTGCAGGCATGACTTGTTTATCCTGCATGTGCTGCATGTTGTTTTGCTGCTGGCATGCTTCCACTTCAATGCATATATGTTTTAAAACGTTTAAGGGAATGCTGAATCATCATGTAACACAAAGTCAGGTAAACTTGGGGGGATATCAGCCTGTCTAGTTTATACACCAGTCTAAGATTTATAAACTACTTTGAATCCATTTCATACTTTGGTTCAAATGAAAGTGACGTCAGATGACCTGGAGAGGCAACAAGAATATAACCCCCATTAGGTAATGTCTTTGTAGGTGGTGGCCACAGATCGTTTCTCTCCTTATCCCCACTGGACCGATGTTTCTTCAGTTTTGCTTTCTGTGAATGCCCTCACCATGACTGATAGCGTGATATGGCACCTGCAGCCCAGTCATGGTGCACAGATAGACCAGCTCTTCCAGGATGGCATATACGTTGCAAGAAGGTTTAGTGTGTCTCCTGGCACAATCTCAACACTGTAGAAGAGGCAACAGAAGACAACCTTTAAACAAGAACACCTGGACAGGGGCCATGGAAGGGATCAACCCAGCGGCAAGACCGGTATCTACTCGTACAAGAAGAGGACAGCTTCACGGTCTCTTCACGTTGCACAGGTCCTTGTACAGTGACAAGGACACTAGAAAAAAGCACATCTAGAGAAAAATCAGTCAGGAGGGTAAAGAGTGTCTCTGGTGTCCCTCAAGGGTCAGTGCTGGGACCATTTACGATTTATCTCCTCTGTCCAGAGACAGACTTTCATCATTTTGGTGTACAGTTTCATTTTTATATCGATGACTCTTTTTCTACAAAACCACGAACCTCTCTTTCCTCCCCCTTTTCTTATCTCCATTACCTCAATCAGACCAAATTCAGTGACAATAAAATGCAAGTCTTTACAAAATTACGCCCTTTTATTGTCTCTATAGATGGATGTCAGGTCCACAGTGTCAAAAGTCTTGGAATCATCTTGGACAATACTCTCTCCTCTACTGCCCACATCAGTAATGCCTAATTTCACCTATGTAGCATTTCTAGACTACACCCTTTTCTCTCTGAACACAGCACACAAGTCCCCCC